CCCCAAAACCCCAAAACCCCAAAACCCCAAAACCCCAAGAATCTGAAGATAGACTGAGTTAAGAATAATTATAAAAATGGACAACCTGAGTGACAAAAGCCTCCCTTTTGTTAACATTTCTATTGATGATGGTTACGGTCAGCTATGGCCAACACAGCGGGTGTTGGAAGTCAAAGAGCATAAAAGGTGAGAGACTGTAGCATTGGGAAAGAGAGTTAATTCAAAAAGAGATTTTGAAGGTAAATTTTTAAAGTTTTCAAAAATATGATAATATTGACATAAAATGAATTTTCTTACAGGGATGCTGAAAGTTTACAGAAATTTTCCCTTAGGAGTCGTAAAAAATTCTCCTTTAAAGACCGCAGGAAGAAACAGGACCTCATCAAAATCTAAACTGAGGCTTACTTCTAAGACAAATTCCTTTACTCGTAAGCACTTCTAGTCACCTTCAAGAGGTTAAAATCATGATTTCTCTATGTCTCTACTCTGTCTCAAATAGATTATGTAGGAAAGAAGCAGGAAATATCGCTATTTTACCCTAAAAAGAGTACTTTTGACAAATACGAGTCCATCAAGATCATAAAATAAGCCTAAAAAGTAACTAATCTTCATAATCCTTAGGAAATCTCCAAAACTGGATAAATTGATATTTAAAGAGAGGCGAACTACTCGGCAACTCCAGAAGCGAACACTTAATGCCCAAAGAGTATTTGGAAAGTACAGCATGGGTTATAATATCAAGAAAATTCTGAAGAAACCTCCCTCTCCAACCCTAGGCAATAAGCTAAAATCTCCTTACCTTCATTCAGGTGGATTAAAGGAGTTCTTCAGAGTTAGGAATCCTAGCAAGAGAGATATGGCTAAGTGTACTACTTCGCATGACCGGTCTCGGTCCATGAAGTACTTTATCAAGCAGATTCAGGCCCCTCAGAACCTTAAGAAGTAGTTCAATATTAGCAATTAGAACTGGGGTTTTGGGGTTTTGGGGTTTTGGGGTTTTGGGGTTTTGGGG